TGGGGAAGTGGTGTGAGTTCTTTGTGAACACTTGGTCTCAGAAAATAAGCGGAATAAACTACAACTATGATAAGATTGTTGCAGTATTGCGTTTCTGGAGAATAACTTCTTACTGTGGTTGGTTCTTATTATAGTTTTATGAACTGACTTTACAATTTTATTAGTTACATTGACTGAATCTTTTTTTTTTCCTATAGGAAACAATGTTTTAATGAGTGAATATGGCTGTTCACGTCTATACATTGATCCAATCTTTTATGAACTTGACATTCCAAGTTATCTGTAAGTTGAAAATTCTCTTATAATTGGCTTATATTTTGGTTGAGATTCATAGCCTAGGTAAACATAAAGCATATGTTTTTTTGCAGGCGATCATTCGACGATGGATCAAGTGACGAAGAGGATGTGATGATGGAGATGGTTGATGAGAACTAACATGTGAAGGAAGGAGTGATTGGATTTGCAAGGTTACTTCAGTTTCTCTTAGTTTATGTTGTTTTTTTTTTTAAATTTTCAGAGGGGATGAACTCTGTTCTACAGAGATTAACTCTGTCTTTTTAAAAATTTCCTTTTGGTATGAAAAACTCCTTTTGTAATCGACTTGAACTAATGTCTACTCTATTTGTTTCTTTTGCATTTAATCTCTATTTTACTCTATTTCCATATTAAGTTTTAGTAGCAGCCAACCTAAATTTAAGAGTTGTTTTCTAACAACTATATTGTAATCATAAATGTTAAGCTAAGCTATATATCTAACTATTATATATTGTATATAATTAGTTAGCATTGCCATTGATATAAATTTTCGTATCATAATGTTTCGAGAATATACCTTATGTAATTGGTTTAAGATCCTAAATCATCAGTCAATCTTGATTGCATGATTTCTTTCCTTAATCTGCGCATATAGTAACAATAGTTAGCTTTTAAATATATGATTCTCATCATATTATTACTTATGAAATATAATCTTTCTAATCTATGTCATTACACATATCTTGATCCTATGCAATAGTAATAATCGTATGAACAACTTATCTTTCTAAATCATCTTCTTTTGGCAACATCATCATCTATGTTATTATCTGAAATCAATTTAAGAACGACATGATGTTAATATATTTCAGGAAACAAAATCGATTGTTCAAATCTATATACAAACCAATTTTGAAATCTTTACAATCATGGCTCTGAAGATTTATGTAGATAGATTTAATTACTTTGTTAAATTCCAAAAATACAGTAAAATTACTTTGTAAAATTTATTGGGTTTTAAACTTACTCAGAAGCTTGGGTTCTTCACAGTCATCTCCCAATGAATCTATTCAAACAGAGAATTGCACAAACTGGAAATCAAATCGACGAATTGGAAAAAATAAAAAGTTCTCTAAAATTGAATCAATCAAAAGCTTACCTGTTTCTATAATTCGGAATCAGTGGTAGAAACTTGATAAAAGCAACGATAAAGCTCGATCTAAGCAGTATTACGTTTTCTATTTTCAGATCGAAGATTAGCATGAAATTTTTCTGGGTTTGTTGTTTCATCTCTTTTCATCTCACCGACAATGATTGTTGGGTTGAGAATTATTTGTCCAAAAAAAAAAAAAAAAAAAAAAAACAGCGATATATCAAATGGATCAGCGAAATATTTAGGCCCAATTGACAGGTCTATAGCTTTTTATTGGATCACAGATGTATTAACGGAATCGAAAATGGGCCAATAGATTTTTATGTGGCCCAAACATAAAACTTAATTATAGATATATCAAATTACAAACACAAATTACATAAAATATTTATACATAAATTCAAAATTTAAAACCAATTTAACACAAAACAAATTCCTTTAGGAAATTTATTTTAAACATTGGAAAATTGAAAAAACATTTATATTTCAAAAATTACTCTATCTATTTTATTATCTGATACCAAAATGTTTTTTTTTATATAAAATTCACATATTTACATACAACAAAAACACATATTTATTTACAACATCTCTTATGCAACACAATAATTTTATTTCACCAAACAAATCATTTTATAGTTTAAGAAATAAAAATATACAATATAAATCAAAATAATAATTTGGTTTCACAAATATTACAACCAATTTTGCAACTTTCTCAATAATTCAACAAAACCAAACCAAGATATCCAATCATTCACCAATCAAAATTATATAATTCTTACTAATTATTCTTTCCAATCTTTTTAGCCAATCAAACAAAAAAACCCGTACATACGTTATACAACACTATATGTTAAACCCGTTTTTACTATATGTTATACAACAAATATTCAACCCGCATATTTTAAAATATAAAAGCCCGCACGTATGTGCGGGTCCGGACCTAGTATACTGTGATTCGAAATTTTAAAAACGGACATATATTATCCAATTGACGAAAATGTGTGTTCAACGTTCTACATCGATTAAAATATTTAGAAAATGATTCAGAATCATATCATAAATAAGAACATTAATAAAATAGATGAGTTTTTTTGCCGGACGGGTTTGGCGGGACGGGTTTTTGAATCAACAATAATAAAAAGATTAAAATATCATTAATCCGCCGCTTCAATACGGATTAAATCTTTTTTTTAATACCACAAATATTAGACATATTAAATCAGTCTCATTTAGAAAAGATTGTATAAAACCAAAAATTGTCCCGTGTTATAATATCATGTGGTCTTGGAAGATGATATGATTTGTAAACTTTTATATATAATAAATAATCATTAAATTTTAAAATAAAAACAAATCACGGGACGGGTTAAGAAATTACGGAACATGTTATATTTCGGAAAGGATTTATATGGCGGACGAATTTGAATCAATATTTATATACCGCTTTAATACGGGTTAAATCCTCCCTTTATTAATTATTGTCTCGTGGACTCTTGGTATACCGTTACTTAATTAATAACAATTATAAACTATAATATAAATAAATATGTTATAAGGAGATACAATTTTAAAAATATTTTTATACTAACTTTAAAATTAAATCATCCCGCGGTGTACCGCGGGTTAAAATCTAGTATATAATATATATCTTCACATTTTACCCCAAAAAAAAAAAATGTGTCTATATATATATATATATAGAATTGGGTTTAAGTTAGAAACAATGGCTACAAAGCCACTTTCTCCGGAAAAAAACGCTAGAATGCCATTGCTATAATATTGATTTTCTGGAAAAAACCCGAAAAAACCGCTATCTACTTTTTTTTTGCCGTTTAATACGTGTAGTTTTAAATTTGGAATAAAAATACCTTGTTTAATTGTTGTTGTCTTTTAAATTCTTTGTTTTTTAAATTTTGGTAGATTCGTACTTAAACGTTAACGGCGGTTAACGATGGTAGCGGAATTGCTAACTGTAGTTAAAGCTTAACCCATCATGTTAACGTATTTATATACGATATCTTTTCTTAAGTTTCCGAATATGTTGTCGTAGTCAAGTGGTTATACATGGGTTGTTTTGTCCACCTTTTCCTGAGTTCGATCCCACCTCATGTGATTTAGATGTTTTTTTTTTTTCCTTAATTTGACTTCTTCTTCACAAAACACTCTATTCTTTCTTCACTGTAATTTTCTTTAAGATGTTCTCAAGTTCACAATTGTTGAATCTCACTTTCTCACCCAATTTTGTAATTGACAAACCTTTTGACTAATAAACAAAAGAATCAGAGTTTCAAACCAACAAATAAAAATTGGAAAACAAAACGCATTTTTATTTTAGTAAATTACAGATCCGGTGGTTGTGCGTAGAACAAAGTTTCCAGATCTGGTGGTTGAAAAAACCCATTCCTCGGCGGATCTCGTTTCCTCACCACCATCGATTTCTTCCTCGACGGCGATAGACAAACAGACGCCACCGAAATCTTATACATCATGTTTCTCGGTGTCGTACATCTTTCCTCCGCCATCTCCGTCGTCCTCTCCACAACCTCCATTCTTCTCTCTCTTTGTTTCTCTCGAACTCGAAGAAGAAGACGTCAAATTAACAAAAAAAAAAAAGAAAAAAAAAACGTCTAAATGACATAAAGTGGATTGAACTCAGGATAAGGTGGACAAAACAACGCATTGTTAACCACTGGACTACAACAACATACTCATAAATTCTTTAAAAGAGATTATATATAAACATGTAAACACCATGGGTTAAGCTCTAACTGCGGTTAACAATTCCGTTACTATCGTTAACAGTCGTTAACGCAGAAGTAATAATCTACCAAAATTTAAAAAACAAAGAATTTAAAAGACAACAAACAATTAAATGAGGTATTTTTATCCCAAATTTAAAACTACATGTATTAAACGGCAAAAAAAAAAAATAGATGGCGGTTTTTTCGGGTTTTTTCCCATTGATTTTCTTTGACCATTTTTTTTAAATCAAAACAGAATCAAATGTCTAAAAATCCTTACAAAAGATTAACAATTACAAACTCAACCTAGAATTCTCTATCACAACAACCAAACACTCCCCAATCAATTTCTGATTATTCTCTCGCCATCTCTTCCTCCGCCGTAACCACCATGTCGTCTTCTTCAACCCCACATAGTCAGATCACAGAACATATTGAATAAGTACAATATTAAATAAAAATTAAATGCTGAGCGTTTTTTGAGGCCCACTAAGAGATTTTTGTTTTTGAGATTTCTTTTTTGCTTTTTAAATATTAAATAAAGAATAATTCATTAAGGGTAAAATGAATATTACATATATATATATAGTAGCATAGAGACTCTAAAATGGCATGCCCGATTCATTTTTTTGGTTTAGTGGCATTCTAGCCTCTGTCTCTTTAAGTTAGGCCCTGTTTCGTTTTTCTTTTGATATTTTATTTAATCACATCCTCGACTACCATCTCAAATCCATAAGACAATTATTTTAGTTTAGTTATTCCATCTTCTGAAATTCGACACTACCAATATTTTTCTATGGTAATCTTACTTAGGGCTTGATTGGTTCTCCTGCTAGCACCCGCCTAGCGGTTGTTAGCGGTCGGTTGTGGTTGTTAGCGGTTGGTACCAATCATAGAAACCGCTCTATACCGCTTCGAACCGTTCGAAATCGCTGGATTTCAAAAGCTCCTTCCTGCAAGCATTTGCGGTTGAAAACCTACAATTTTTACTTTCAATGCCTAAGTAACAGTTAAACCAAATTTTACCCCAAAAATAACCAGTTAAGCTCGTTATTGAATAATTCTATCCAATTGCGTCAACTTGATGCATATACTATAGTATTTTATAACTTTTCCCTCAACATAGAACTTGCATCAGTACTTGTCAGCTTCACGTGCTTCTGTATTGAACGCATGTCCTCCATTTTGTCTAGACTCTAGAGTGATGTCAGTGACATCATGTCATATTACTTTTGTTGCTTGTTTTAAGATACTATTACATCAGTATAACAGTTAAATGAAAAAACTTGAACCAATACATATGACATCAACGTTCTTTTCCTGACAACATTTTCATTTATCATCCCTAACTTTTTTGGGATGCTTTCACCTACACACTCAATGACTCAAACCAAACCAAACAAGAACACTTCCCACTACTTATGGCTCAGGATGGGTTTTGGTTTAGCCTAAACCTAATCATGTAGAAACCGAAATCAAACCCCAACCAACAGTAAGATAACTTAGACAGAAAACATCACTAGGGATGTTAGATGTTTATCAAAACCGGTTCCAAGAGAATGCAACGGGACTTCTAACTTCGTGCTGCGGATTGCTCCAAGTGATGGATCCAAACTCAGCCTTGTTCGTCATACTCACTCCTTTCTTGCTAACAAACGTGACTGTGTACCTCTTCTTCTCTCCCACGCTTCTAAACGCAAGTTTTGATGGTTTAACTGAGATCGCAACACTAGGAGCTCCATTAACCGTCACTTTGTAAACCGAGTTTTCTGCACCAACATTTGTTACTTCCCGAGTGTACCGCACAACTCTTTTACCCCCAAACAAAACCGAGAAACTTGGGTAGTTGAGCTGACCAGGATCTGAGAACTTCTTTGAGCAGTTGACGCTAGGTCGCTTCACAATCGCAACAATGTGATCTACTGTGTAGTCTAGAGAGCACAAGAACCTGATGTATTCCTCGGTGGAGATATCGTAGACAAGACCCGGTGAGAGAGCCTTTTGAGGATCTACATGGCCCGAGCCGTGAGCATGTGGGTTAGAGAGGCTGTTGTCTGCAGCATCATGGAGAGGGGCGTTGGTGTTATCAAGAACGTAAGCTGTGGTCATGAGGGCTGATTTGATAGCACTCGGACTCCACTCTGGGTGAGCTGCTTTCAAAAGACCAGCTAAACCACTGATGTGTGGGCATGACATTGACGTACCTAACAAAAATCAGACACTTTTCATGTCAAACAAAACAAATCCAAACCCCTCTTTATAACCATAGATAAATCAATAACTGAAATATATAATCAAAATCATGCTTTAAGTTTTTTATGAAGAGGGTAAAAACTAAAACTTCCAAGAATCAGACCCTTTTCATGTCAGAACAAATCAATAATTTGAATATGCATAAAACCAAGTTTCAAAATTGAGCATCTTGAACCCGTGAAGCTTCATAATAGTACCTG